AAAAAAAAAAATAAAAAAAAAAAAAAAAAAAAAATTCTGAATCTGCCCTGCAGCCAGCCTGAGTGCACTTCTACAAGCAATCGTCCCATGGCTGCACCAGGACAAAAATCACCTGTGAAGAGACTAGAACGTGTGAAATGTGAGACTGAACACACGCAGTGCGTGTTTTGGTTGTGATCTGTGGCACTGGCTGGGGCCCAGGCTGAAGCGTTTTACTTCAGACTATATTGCAGAAAAGACCCCCCGCCAAAAAATGGGCAGCAGTTTTCAGCCCACGCGAGACACCTGATCCTTTCCAAAATACACCTCTGAAGGCTGTTAAATAAGACAATGATGGATTATAAAACCAATCCAGAGGCAATGCTGTGTCTGAAGACCTGTGGCTGCCCATAACAGCCATCCAGGCATCGCTGTCCCCTAGCTGTGCGGGGCTCGAGCTCGCCAGAGCGGGGCAAGAGCCCGAGCGGACATGGCTCCCAGCCTGCAGCTCACGGTTATTGGTGCTGCAGGAGACGGCGGCAGCCTCCATGGGGCCAGCCGGCCGGCGTACAGGTCGCAGGGAAGCGCATGCTACTTTCTGGTCAAAGCTGTGAAGGAACAGGCAGGCACCTGGCAGCCTTCGCCCCCAAGCTGAAGCACCTTGGCTCTTGCGCTAAAACCCACTTTCTGCTGCCTTCTGTCAGGGGAGGCAGAGCAAAAGGGCAGTTGCTTAGCGAGCCTCATGAACCATCTTTGTTCAAGCACATGCAAATCTAAACCTAGCATTACTCATGAGCATTACAACATGCTGAGACACCTCAGCCACCTCAATGCACCAACAGCCAGCTTAACGCCCACTGTACAAAGAGACATTTGCTTCATAACCTGACCCAGCTGAAAAGCTGAGACCACTTCAGCAACAGCGAGCCTTAGTCTATTGTGCACAGGGTTCAAAAGGCATTTGTATGTGTGCTTAGCAGCAACATACCTACTGACAAAAGATCTAGTAAAATAAGAACCGTACTATAAAACCTTTCTTCTGCAGTTTTGTCAGTGGTCGCTCCTGTTTTATTAAACCTTATTTTTTACCTCTTCTTTTGTTTCCTCTGATCTACTTTAAGCTAAAATGAACATCAGGAATAAAACAAGCAATTGTGTACAAAGCTTCAGAATAGATGTCAAACTAACAGAGGATTCACATGCGTTAGACATGCGTGTACACATGCGCATAAAAGCATCACTTAGTTTCAAGGCTGCATTACGTCACATTATTAGTAAAGTAATATTTACTCAGGCTTTTATATGGTTCCCTTGCATCATTTATCAAGAACCTACCTAGAAGACAGATTAATCATGGTTCTAGGTAATCTATTTTCACTCAGATGTTCAAAGTTCTTACACTGGTTTAAAGTGCTAGCGTCCACTGTCTGAGCCATCCACAGTGAAAAGGAATAGCACAGCTGAACAGAAAAAATATTTTTGCTCTCAAATAAGTGCAAGTAGCAAGCCACATGCTTTGAAGAAAGAAAAACAGCAGTTCACTCCCTACTGCTGATTTGCAGATGGTTCACGGTAATGGAGAATGTCGGATAAAGAGATCTGAGCTGTGCTAGGTGTAAGACTGAGGTTAAAAGAGCAGAAGTGAAAGTGCACAGCATAGGAAGATCTTACTGGAATGGTATCAAAGATAACATTACAGTAACAAGATCCATAAAGTGCTTTAAACATCCGAATGACGCAATTGTATCAGCTTATGAGCTCTAGATTGACTTGGTTTACTGCCTGGTTGCCAAAATGAAGAACATCAGCTGCGGGGGTAACCCTTACTGTCAGTACCATATCCTTCCCCTCTAGTATCCTTGCCAGTTCTGATGGTTTTGCCTGTCTTTCAATCAAATAACAATTTTAAATGTGAATTAAAGACTAAGTGTACTGCAGAGAGCGTTCAGTCTCAATGCAGTCAAAAGCAAAAGATAAATATAAAGGTAACTATTGGTAGGGGCTGGAGAAGGGAGGACTAATGAAAGACACCAGAGTTTTTTTTTTCCCCTTTATTTTCTTATGGTTGAAAAACAACAGCAACTGAGTTTGCCTGTAGATGTTACTGACATTTGTAACTGGGGCAGGGCAGACAAGATTTGTATGTCATGACTGCCTCTTTAGAAGTTGCTGACGGGAACATTCTGCTCAAGCGGATCCAAAAAAAACCCTGAAGTCCCAGGAGTTTCACAGACCATTTGTGCTAAGGTACAAAAGATCTTTAAATTCTGGTTACAGAATTATTTGAAAGTGTACACTCATTTACTTCTCAAATACATTACATTTCTTTATCTTCCACAGGCTTAGAAATCAGGAAATTGTGTGTCAGAACTGGATGACTTGTCTCTTTCTTGCTTGATTCTTCTGAACTATTTCCATAGAAACTTTAGCTTCATACAATGGGATCGGTTCATCCAGCTGAGGCCTAAAATTGAGCAATACGTCAGAAGTGTCTGGTGAGCACGCTCAGATCAACAGAAATATTGCGGGACTACTGCTATAGACTTTACTTTCACTATGTAAACTTTACTCCTTAAACAAAATAAAAGTTTTATAGCTCTGCTTAGGTTCACACCAGAAGGGAATAGCCCTAAAGCAAACAAGAAACAGAAGTTAATTAAAAGAAAACTTTCTTTTTGGGGGGGGGGGGAAGGTGGTGGTGGTGGTGAGAACTTTGCTCCACAGTAATACTGTTATCCCACCTTAAGAGAAAGGATCTTCCATTCCCACCTCATTATGAGACTCTCCAAGTGAACCTGTTGCTCTTCTCAGGGGAGCATTAGACAGACTTAATGTCTTTTACAGCCAACACCATTGCTCAGACACGCTGCTGAGCAGCCAGATACATGCTCTTCCTCCACCAAGAAAAGAATGTGCTGCCTCTGTTAAATTTTGACATACAGCATAGTTGTGGGGTTTACCAGATTTCCTTGTGCTTAGCCTGCTATATTACAAACAGAAAGAGACCACAAACTGCTCCACATGAACTATGTGAGGCATCTTTCCCTGAGCATCCCCATATAAATTTGCAGCACAGTGCCGGCAAGAGTTTTCTACTTCTAATGCTGAGTTAAAAAAAAAAAAAAAAAAAAAAAAAAAAATCACGTCTCACCTGAAAATGCTACTTGATAATTTCTCCATGATATCTTCTAAGATGGGTATCTAAGAGGACTGTCAAGGTAACAACGTATCTAGAGATAAATCTTTCTATAATCACGTTTACTGGCAAGAGCCCTGTATTGATACAAAACCAGCAGGATCAAGGCAAAATGAAAATTAACCTTTACGCCAATCTTTAGATCAGACTTACACATTTGTTTATATATCAGAAACCTCCTTTCCTGAAACACTATGCAGAAACGAAATTTGGAAAATAGAATTTTGAAAAATAAAGCAAAAGGGTTAATACTGACAAATGCAGCCTGCACTAGTACAACATTAATCAATTAGAATGGCAATTGCATTTTTTCTGCAGAATGAAGATAACAGACTTTGGTACCAGTTATCTAACCCTACCCTTCATACAGACATTCGAGGCAAAAATTCAAATAAAGGTGGGAACACAGCAGAGTCTGTAAATTCTTGGCGCACCGCTGCACATCTGTAAGGGATCTTTGAGATAATGACTGACATTCATGACAACGCCACAGATAAGGCTGTATTTTGTCTTTACATGAAACTCAAAAAATGTTGTTCCTTACTTCATTTTAAGAGCAATCAGATTACTGTTTGAAGCTCAAGCCATTTTAAAAAGCAATCCCCTTGCCATTTCTTCACATGATATTAATGCCATATGCTCAAGTCCTTCACAAGATACACAGATCCAAAAAACCCCCCAACACTAAAACCAGATTTTTCTTTTCAACTTTAAAGCCTGTTGTGATAAAATGTGCTGCTGTCATTAAAGACACCCCAGGAGATGACAGAATAAATCTTACTGTTTTATAAGCATACTTTTTATGTGGATAATGCTCAGTAAGCATTCAACAAAATACCAGACTATAAACTGATTCATGATAACCTGCATCCCATAAATATCTCCTTAGTGTGCCTGACCCTGCCTAATCTGCTTTGCAGTTTAGTGGAGGAGGGGAGAACTTCCTTGCAGCACAGTTAGTCGTTTCACATAATATAACGACTTAATCCTCACCTGCCTCTGCTATTCTGCTAAACTGCAAAAGTGATTCAGCAGATCTCAATCTGCAGTGCAGTACAGAGTAGGGAGGGTCCTTAAAGCCATAAAGATACAAACCTTCCATTACCTCAAGTGATCCACTGACAACTGTCATGCTAGTAGAAAGCTCAGAGTCCATCTGCTTAGGACCAAATGTAGGCAATGCAAATAAAGGAGGCATTCCACTTCCCACACCCACATCTTTGCAAATGAGGAAAAGGTTATGAAGCCAAAATATTTTAACTTTTACAGTTAAACTGATTGCATTAAGATTTACAGATGACGCATCTACTGCCCAAAAGAATGACAACAGCAAAAAAATCCAAAATTTAATATACATAATATAAAAACATAGAGAATCAAATATTCAGTTAATTGGTTCAATCTTGAACCAAAATACTGCATTTTCTCCAGAATTAGTGTTTTCTATTTCTGCACTGCTTTTAATGAAGTATGTAGAGACATTTAAAAGGAATGCAGAGACTAGCTTAAAACATGAGCGTATGTTATATTTTAGTTACACTGTATGCTCAACTGTGCTGACCTTTAAGCCTATGGTTACATGACTGAGTAGAAGAAAATCTATTAGTTGGTTTCTCAGTTATATTTCCATCCACATCCATATTAGCAGTCAGTATTCAAAATGACCATCAAAAGGATATAGAGATACTTCCCTTGCTGTATATTGGACAAGTTCCATATCTCATCATTCAGAAAGGAGACTGTGGCTCCTTTAAGAAACAAAGAATGGCTGTCTGGAGGATCCAGCTTAAACAAATTCAAGGAAAGTGTTATTTAGTTACATTCACATATACAAAAAAATGTTAAATGGTTATTTTATAGAGATGGTTAAAACAAACAAAAAGCCACTCTTAGCAAACTTGTAATATTTACAGCTTTAAATGATACTTTTCTGTCTTGTCAAACAGTTTAATACCCTGAGCCAGACAAAATAGGTTCTTTAAGATTTGTCAGTATAGCCAAGCTAGCAACATACTGTCATCATATTAACTTACTATCATCTCAGAGAAGACAGCCCCAAAATTGTCCCAAAGGAAAATAAGAACATTTATGATTAACGCTGTATACTTCCAATTTTCTGGACGTGAAAATTTTCTTCAGTGAAACTGATGTTACGTAACAGTGGGGAACCATTTGGCCATGACAGAAGCTCACAGACACATCCACATATACACTGTAGTACAAACTAAATTACTGACGCAGCATCTTTACCTGAAGATTTTTTTCTGTTGTTATCCAGTGTCCCCCAACACCAAGAAGAGTAATGATATCATGCTTATGAGGCAGCAACTGCGATTTTGAAGTTGATTCATCTT